TAAAAATAATTTGCATTGGTGGTGAGGTTAGTATACGTGGGCTTTAGAAAATCTCAGCATAGACATTGCTTCAGGAATATGATGTAGCACATGAAGCACAAGCAAGAGAGATCAGAAACATTCCACTGGGTTTCTGAGCATTTTTCCATGTTAACTTCATAAAACATGTAATGAGGTTGTAACTGCAATTGTTCTTTCTTATGTTATGATTTTGTCATGCCCCACATTGAGATGTATGACTGTAATACAAGCGTATAATGCCACATAATGCAGTTCTCCTTATTGTATTTGCAACTTTATTTATCAATCGGTGTACGAGTATTTACATAAAAACTAAATAGGTCCTTAGTATCAAGACTTTTATTGAGAAAGTATGCAATAAAATAAAGCTTTTTAAAGCCCTTTTTATTTTAAATATTTATTAGTTGTTTTTTTAAAAATCCATATCTCCAGTGAGTCTCTGGCAATCCTTTTTAATCTCTATTAAAGGTAATACAGAACAGTATCATGCAGGATTTAAAAATCTCCAACTGATCATGTTTTGCTTCCCCAAGTTCACAGCAGGCAGGTCTCATGCTTTTTTTTTAGTTCGCATGCTAGTGCACAATTTCCTTTTTCAGAATATAAAGTATGTAGCTTTTAATAGATTATAAGCATATCTTTATAAGTTATTCTATGCTAGGACACCATTTAAACTATGGAAAGCTATAAAGCACAATTTTCTGTCAACTGAATTTCCTGAGCATTGCTGTTAATCAAAGTAATTTTAAAAGACTTGTATCTAAATGACAGCAGCTATTTGGCTCTAGGTTATGTGAATATGATTTTGCAATGTTTTTGATTAACAGCAATGTTCAGGAAATTCATAGCTGCAAAAAATGAATTTTAATAGGTCTGAAGGACCCATAAGAGTTAGATATTGAACAAGGGAAAGAAAAAGACTTAAATGTCATGAAAAGTGGACACTGAGATTTTAGTAGTGTACAATGTGATCTCTGCCTAACCCATGCCTGGAACATTCAGTAGCCATAAAGTCAAAACTATTATAGGTAAATATCTTCTCACCCCAGCACTGAGAAAATCTAAATGTGAATTCAAAGTTGGGGGTTTTTTTGCTTTTTTTTCATCCGCATAGTGATTGTTATGTTACAGGTAAATGACAAGGTTTTGATTGCTTAAAGTGACTGAATATTAGAAACTTGTCTCAACTACTTCCAGTAGATACATCAAATTAACAAGTTCTGTCTTTATCCAGTGATTTTTAATATCTGATTTCTTTTTGTCTTGCTACTGCCGGAAGGTACACCTTGCTACAGTAGGTGGACAAATAGTGCATCTCCAGAAATGTAAGCTTTCTTCTTAACAAGACTTCATGTAGATGTGCCTTTCCATCAGTAGTTTTCCTTTAACCTTCTATCACTTTATTATACTAAATTATTTAAAAGTTTATTTGAACTAAGGTGTCTAAGCATGTAAATGTATTTATTTTATTCTGCAGTTTGTTTACTGCCAAAAGCACAAACCTGATTTATGTACATCCATGATATAATGGTTCAAAACAGTTTAGGAAAAGTCTGGTAATATCTGCATGGTTTGTGGATTTTCTGTGGGTACCTTTGTTCTAGAAGCACAGGATTAAAATGGTGGCCAATGTCACTAATCCATCTCCTTGCTGTTGCAGGCAGCCATATCAATATTGTCTTCAGAAACAGCCTGAATTCCTGCTTATAACTGATTATGGTTTTTTGTTCTCACTTGTATATATGTTCATTCCAAAACTTTATGACTCTGATGGTTCAAAAGGTTTTAATCTCTAATAGAAATATATTAATGGCTGTTCATTCTTGTGCTTACTTTTTCAGTTACTCTTGACTTGGGGCTTTTCTTGAAAGTAAATAACTATATGCTTTATAGCTTTTATCACACTGAACTAAGGATGTCCAGATCTTCTACTGTTGTGATCAAAGTTACATGCTAACCTGCCGCAGCAAGGTGCACTGGCTTTTTTAAACCCCTCACCTCAACAGTTATAGGTTGAAAATACACTTCCTTGGTTTTACCACTATAGCATAGGTGGTGTGAGGGAGGTGTGGTAACAATCCAAAATCATGACAGTGGAACGGATAGGGTACCAAATCACCAATGCATGCAAGTTTTGAATCAGTGTGTGAAGCAGTAAGGGTGTTTAAGAGTTTGGGGTTAACACAAATTAATTCCTGCTTGATTAAAATAAAAAATGGCAGGGTAGACATTAGTATTTCTGAAGAATTAGTCAGACTTTTTACCTTGCTAGTGCCTAACTCATTTTAAACTTTGACTTAAATGGAAGTGATCTTTGATAAAAAAAAATTACACCAGCAGCATATATACTTCAAGTATTACAGCAGTTAATTCTTCAGGAGCATATTTACCAAAGTGAAATCTAGGACTGTAAGTAAATATGCTTTCTGAGCCAGGCCTAGCAAATTTCGGTGTTTCTGAATGAGATTCACAACAGCCAGTTTACTAAGCAGGCAGCCGCCTGTCTACACATCTGCAAATACTGGACATGCACTTAGGCATAGCAATGCTAGATGGAGAAGTTCCTCGACTGAAAGAACATACACAGTAAAGATGCCACCTGATTTAGGAAGCAGCTCTATAACAATTTCAAGATGATAAAATTGGGTTTAGATAAAATGTGTGTCCAATTTTTTTTTTTTTTTTCTACTGACACTTAGTTGCTCAGTATTTTTGTAGCATGGCTGAGACCAAAGTGTTCTCATTATCTAGGAAGTGCTGCTAATCACTAACGTAAAGTATTATGCATTAAGAACTTGACACACTGATATTTCCAGTGAGTCGTAACATCTTCACTGCCCAGGAGTTACAACAGATGAAACAAGGACTCCTCACACAAACTGGCCAGAGATTAATTCACTTCCCTAGTCCCATTTCCCATTTTGCAGGACCCCTCATTCTGAAGGGAAAGACACTGGTCCTTCAATTCAAATGTTCCACTCATTAGTCTGTGCCTAGCAAGTCACAAATATCAACATTATTGCTGATGTTCTGAAGAGGAAAAAAAGACACAGCTGTACGCAGCTTTACTCAAGTCACTATCTCCACACAACAATTCCGGATTGTAGGCAGCAAGTTATGGGACACACCTTTCTGCAAGTTTCAAAGCAGGACAAAAATTTAGAAAGATCCCACCAGCTACTACATCTTAATAGCGAACTTGCAGCAGTTCCCTGCTTAGACTATTTCTGTCCTAAATGTCAGTCTAAAGCACCTTACTCTGCCCCTCACAAACTATGAGAAACTACGTAAATATTGTTGGATTTTACTTGGAGGCCTTGGTTCATAGGTGTTCACCACCTTTGTTATTCAGTCTAGTTCATCATACCTAATTGACCTTCATGCTTGGGTATTTTAGGGTGAAGACTCTGCTGAACTGTTAAAGTAGTTAAAATGTGGTTGTTGGTACTCTTGAGAAGCTTACTTTCAGTGCCTAATTTATTTTGCCTTTTTTTAAAGTCCAACACTTATACCTTATCTCTGATTATATGACATTGTGTTTTCTTCTGCTTTAAAAAAATGTATTGATTTTCAGAACACCAAGTATTTTTCCCACTGCCCTTAGACTGAGTGTAAATTAGAAGGGCTATGGTGCAACTAGTATTTTGTATATTGATACAGATAGTATGATTTCATCAGCCTTCAAATATGTATTCAGAATCAATAAATATAAACATTTAAGTAGAATGGGATATTTAAGACTGTACATACCAGCAATATTTTCATGATCTATGATGAGCTTATTATATGTAATTATAATGATGTGTTCATACCTTATCTTTAGCCTGCTCTGATTCAGGAAAACTGAAATGTGTGTTGCTGCATTGTCAGGGTCAAATTATTTTCAGCTAAATACGAAATTCAGATTTTAATTAAGAATTGTTTATCTGATTTAGAAGATGATAGAAATAAGGTACTTATTTTCCTCCACTTGCCAAAAGGTGATTGTACTTAAAAAATTTGCTGAGATTGTCCAAGAAAGTGTGTAAAATTCTCATCCATCACCGAGAGCCCCTGGTCAGGGAATGACAGTGCAGTAAATATCTTCAGCAGCTGCCTTTTAATGTACAAGCTGTTTTCGGTAGGAATTTTCAGCACTCACATAAAACACACTGTCATGAGTGACTGCCTGTGCTCCAAAGTCATTACTATTGGGATGATGGAACATCTTTCAGCGAATAACCAAAAAACTTTAAATGTCATGTCAAGTTTGTTGAAGCCATTTTCAAGCCTTGCTCAAGGTTACATGAATATTGAGTACACCTGTTTTTAAAAAGTTTGAGATTTATGAGAGGGACCACTCATATGCTGGTTTTGAGAAGAATCACTTGATTGGAGGGGGGGGAACAAAAAAAGAAATCTAACATCAGTCCAGCAAAGCTCCTGAATATTAACTGAGTACAACTTCTTGTGACAGTCAATGCCAGTGATGTTTAGCAAAAAGTAGTAAGTTATGCAAATTCTTAAAACTACTTAGCTGCCTAAAAGATCACAAGGGAAAGAAAAATTATTACAATGGATAATTAAATTGAAGTAGATTTTTAAATGCATTTTAAAATTTGAACAATTAAAAAAGTATGTAGGAAATTTAATTAACCAGATAAAACTTGGGAAGTCACTAAGAGGTGCTGAGTACTCTGTTTTCTGTTTGACTCCAGGAAGAAAGGAGGATCCTATCAGGCTCTGTCTGTGATTCTGTAGGAAATATGGATGCTAATCTAATGAATTCATGTAGTCTGTATCACTTCCAAAGGGATCAAGCCCACTTCTTTTGAAATTATAATATTTTTTTTGTCTTGCCTCCATGGCAATCATTACTCCTTCTAGTACATCATCTGCGTGTAAAATTTTGGCTGATCAGGAGGTCTTTTTGTATTACAAAATATTGAAACTGAGTATTTTAATAGTGAAACAAAACTTGTTTGCTTTATCTTCTGCAGAGAATCAGAAAGGACAACTAGAGACGTCATGTTCACACCACAGTACCAGTTTAAACTTGACAAGAAGCCCAGTCACCAAAGAGGTTACTTATGATGTGGAAACAAGTTCTGCAGCATGGAACAGGGCTGTTGGGAGAAAGGAAACCTGTCATGGAGAAGGCAATAAAGAAAAGAAAATAGATCGTATCAGGTCTCCTTCTAAAGGAGAAGCCATTCCAGAGGTAGAAGCTCTCCTGGCAAGATTGCGAGCACTGTAGAATAGTCATATAAAGGATTAAAACGAAGCTTAAAAACAAGCTGTAATAGCCTACATCTTTAAAGATACACTAATTTTCTACTATTGACATGACATACTTCTGAACTCCTAACTTCCCTGTGGATGAATGATCTACTTATTGTTTGCAAGACTGTACAATACGGTATTATGGTGTTGCATAACTGCAAGATGATTTTTATTATGTGTTTTTACCTACTTAGCATACAAAAAATATCAGAAGAAAACAGATACTAAATTATTCCAAGTCACAATCCTTTTATTGGACAAACTGCTGACCACATGTTTTGAGAGCTTCTCAAAATAAGAATATCTTTTATTGATAAATCATCATGCCTGGGAATAAGGGTCAGTAATAACGGAAAAAGTATTCTTATCTTTTCTACTGCAATTTCTATACTTAAGGTGCTTCAGCAATTATAGTAATAGGAAATATGTATCATATAAATCAGCCATATTCCAGTTTGAGTTCATGAAAGAGCACCAAAGCTTGCTGAAATATATATGTATGTACAAAATGGAAATCCATGGACAGTAAACAAAAAATCTATGCAAATAATATACTTTATGTGTGATTAATATATCACTGCTGTTAAGCTTAGTTATGATTATTATATCAAAATAATATATACAATTTCTGTGATTGCAAGGTTTTGCAATTGTATCCAAAGTGGGGAGAAATATCTTTACAGTTCTTTACCAGTGTAATATTTTATCTTTTCACATGTGAGTTAATATGTTTCTATAAAAGGAACATGTAATGGGAAAGGTTTTTACAATTGGTTTTTCACAAACTCATTTTCCAGTAGTCCGTAAAGTCTTATTTGCTGGCACAATAGGAATCTTGCATATAATTGCATCTCTTTTATCGCACTGTCATTGTACCTTGTTACATGTTCGCTATCATATTTATTAATTGCACATCATAAAGAATTGCTACCAATGTTACCAAGTAGGAAGCTACTATTGGTATCTTTGGTCCATTATTTAAAGCTTCCTTATTGTAAGAGTGTATTAGTTATCTAATATCTTTCTTCTAAATTACTCTATTTTTCTTTACAAAATGCTGAAAAATATGTCTTTCAATAAGAGTCAGTTACATGAAACCCGTGTTTCAATGCTCCAGTGCTTTTTATATCCTTGTTGAAGTTGCCTTCATACTTCCTGCACTAAACATTAATAAAGTTAATTAGAACTTGGAAACTGGACCTGTTTATGCATACTGCATGGAGGGTTTTTCAGCCATCATGGGAATCAATCTCATGTTTCTGGGGCTGTTGTAACTCTCATTATACACTCTAATTACACTTCCTGCCTTAGCTGAAAAAAAGTAAGAGGTATAAACAAAAGTTAGGGAAAAATACAGAGAAATCCTATCAGACTATCTTTTCTCCAGCTCTCATTGCAAACAGCGGGCAAAACTGTCATATAACGGCACCTTTGGTAACGTAAAATCACACAGAGTTGACTGTAGAATTGGGGCTTAATGCATCTTCAGTGTATCACTAGAAATACAACTACTACTAATTGTTTCACTAAGGTCTTCTGCACCTCCACTGTTAAGACTTACTATCCTTGTTTTACAGGGTGCAGTAAAAATTACTGTCTGCAATTTAGAATATGCTTGATTAAATAAAACGGTGTTTGAGACACAAAGAAAATGTATGTTGAAGGAAAAAAAAACATTCACTGGATGTCTTCAGTTGCTGAGGACATGCTAAAATAAAAGGGTCAGGAGTAGAGAACCGTCTGAAATATTAGCAGGATGACCTTCCAAGTGAAGGTGGAAGTACAAATTCATTTTCCAGAACACAGTGAACTTGTTCATTTGAATTAGTGGATAATAGTCCACCACAGAAAACTGACAGTTCAGGACACTACTGCATAGTTTATCAAGAAATGAAGAGTTACAAAACTATCTTATCTACTGAAATTTCCAATGAACAAAATACCACAAGCAGCCTAGCATCTTCTGATTTGAAAACCAATATTTACATTTAAAATTATAGATCTTAAGCCACCTTTCCTTGAAGTTTGAGAAGCTTTTAGAAATGTATTCCAAGGCTTTTAGTCCTTCTAAGACACTGTGTTTCTGAAATTAATCCTTTCAAGCAGCCATCAAGTTAATTCACAGTTTCTTTTGTGTAACTAGAAAAATAAAAGCAGCTATGCTTCTTAGAATCCATGTAAATACAGCATGTAATTTTTTTCTCCTTTAGTATTTCTTTGTACCATCATACTTTGATATATTCAGAGTTCAAGTGCACAGTCCAGTTGAAATGCACAGTAAGTTTTCTTTCTACATTTCATCTTTCTTTAACTTCCCTTAGAAGCAAAAAAATACACAGGACATTTTTGATAGGAAAAAGTGTTTGTATTGCCTAATGAGTTCAGGTAAAAATAACTTTGAAAGTATCATGTCTGTATTCTTTTTCTATGCTTTTATGTTTTTATTAAAGTCAAAACTCAGCTCCTAAATTTTATGGAATAAATTATTTACATTTTAAAATTAATTCATTTATTCAATATGAAATTTAAAGTTAATGCAATCTAAAAATACTTAAGAGTAGAACTTTAATGGTGTGTGTGCTGGTTATTTTTAGTAAGCTATTTTTTAGTAAGTATCAAGTCTGTTCCTTGAACTGGGGGATTGAGCTATATACCACTTGTGCTAGATATTGATGAAGGTTTCACATACCATGCAAAACCCTCTCTTTCTGTAATTCAAACCTGTAAATTAAATCCTTATAAAAAGAACTTCCTGATTTCTTCAAACATGAGTGTTCACATAAAAGCACTAGAAGTAATCTTGCAAGGTACATTCCACTGCTCCTTCTCTACCTGAGCAGCAGACATAAGGCAGAAACACCCATGGCTTTTCTTACTAGTAAAACTGTAAAATTCTAACACATCTTTCTGATTCTTCACATTCATTTTGGATGACTTTCGTTTCACTCAGTGGGCTGGTTTTGTCTGGGCTAGAGTTAATTTTCTTCACAGCAGCTAGTATGGGGCTGTGTTTTGGATTTGTGCTGGAAACAGTGTTGATAACACAGGGATGTTTTAGTTACTGTTGAGCAGTGCTCACACAGAGTCAAGGCCTTTTCTGCTTCTCACCCCAACCCACCAGCGAGTGGGCTGGGTGTGCACAAGAAGTCGGGGGGAACACAGCTGGGACAGCTGACCTCAACTGACCAAAAGGATATCCCAGACCATATGGCATCATGCTCAGCACATAAAGCTGGGGAAGAAGAAGGAAGCAGGTGACATTTGGAGTTATGTCATTTGTCTTCCCAAGCAACGGTTACATGTGAAGGAACCCTGCTTTCCTGGAGATGGCTGAACATCTGCCTCCCGAAGGGAAGCAGTGAATGAATTCCTTGTTTTGTTTTGCTTGCATACACAGCTTTTGCTTTACCTATTAAACTGTCTTTACCTCAACCCACAAGTTTTCTCACTGTTACCCTTCTTATTCTCTTCCCTCATCCCACTGGGTGGGAAGTGAGTGAATGGCTGTGTGAGGCTTAGTTGCTGGCTGGGGTTAAACCGTGATAGACAGTAAAATAATTTTGATACTACATCAATTTTTACTTTATACATAAACCATATTATTCACAGTGGTGATCTGAATTCATATGTAATATTGTAATGTTTTGACCTTCTCAAGATATGAATGTTTGTGATGGGTACCTTCAAGCTGCATACAGCAAAGCTTGACACCTGGTTTATAGACCATAGGTAACCTACTAATCTGTGTAAACCTAGAAGGAAAAATGATGGTAGCAATTTTATTACAAAATAGTTCAACAGCATTAGAGGTGGTGGCTGCCAGGAGATGTAATACTACTATGAATCAGGCACGCCGTTAAAGGAGCATGAACCTTCAACCTGAAAAAAATCGTAGTTACTTTTTTGTTCCCCATTAATTATGGCAACACTACTGCTTAGGAGGCTGAAAAGACCACATGTTAAAAAAATAGATGCAGTTGTTACAAACAGCTTTACTCCAACACACAGTTTTCCTTGCTTTACCTCATATGAGCAGTCCTCAGCCTGGCACATGCAAAGTCACACTTTCCAGAACTGAACGAGTTAATGCTGAGCAGCCTGAGGTACTGTAGCCCTTTAGACTTTTATAATAAAGGCTGAAAAAGAAGACATTTGCTGCTAACACTTTATCCACATCCATTTCTAATGAACAGGACCAAATTATAATTTTTACACTAATCTTTCCAAGCATTGCAATACTCGATAATTATAAAACAAATGGGCAACAAGCAGGGGTCAATAAACCCTTAGCTGTGGCACCTAAAATGTTATACTAAGCAACCAGGGTCAAGTGAAAGAGCTCAGGAAAAAAGCAATTACATGACAACATTGTTTTCTCCAGAACAAAGTAAAGCATTACTATACATTGTCTTTTTTTTAATGCAATGTGTGGGTTTTACGCAACTGAAATGCAGCAGAAAAATAACTTCACTTAAAAGTTTTATTACCTGTTTGTTTAGTTTTCTAAAAATTCGAATTCTAAAAAGAATTCAATGAATTGCAGATTTTATCAGTTTTCCATCTAACTTTATGCCAACATTCCTATATGTAACAAATTAAAAAATTAACTATGTCACCAACTATTCAATTTGCTTTAAATTTTTTTGGCACATGAAGCAAGGGCATTTTTTTCCTTTCCAGATACACCTTCTACATTTCACTATTGTACGTTTTACATGAAGTACAGTATTAAGACTGGGACTATACATCTCACTGTAAAACCATGCTAATAAAGCATTATGGTCACTGGCACAAATGAAGAATAAACAAGAGGTCATCCAGATAGAATTTTTCTCTCCCTCCCAGCTACAGAGGTAGCCATTAAGTTTCATAAGTTAGCTGAGTACATTTTAAACTCCTCTGTAATTTTATTTCAGTAATGTAGGTTTTTGTGATCCATGCAAAGGCATACACTGAAGAATTATTAAGGGAAATAATTTCTGGCAACATACCAAAAATACACTGAGCAGATGACTTGCATGCAACATCAGCCCTATATACCGTAGGAGGCATAACACTTTAATATAATCCAAGCAGAGGCAGATAAGGTATTTCACTCCACTGAAAGAAAATAGTTCCTTTCATCTAAATGAGTCTATTCCACTGCTGATACCAGTACTGTGTATATTTTGAGAGGGTAATATCCCCCTATTTTAAAATCTGTGTTATATTAGCCAGAAAAATAAACTATGGAAAGAGAAGTGCAGAGACTAGGAAGCAGAGTTGATTAATGTGCTGCCTGGTTTCACTTCTGGGACCTGAAATTGCATCTAGTGCAGAATGAAGCAACTGGGGGGGGTGGTGGGGGGGGGAGTCTGATGTGACATCTTTAAAGGTCATAAAGGAAATGATGGTGGGTGATCCAGAGT